CAACTCAAAACTATTTGAATCTAACAATTTCAACAAGGAAGAAAAAAATTAAAAAAAAAAAAAAAAACATAAATTTCATTGTTGCTATAACATGCATAGAGTAATTCTTAAATGTAGGAATGCATGCGTGGTTTGCTGCTGCTGTTGACACCCGCTATGCTGTAGCTGTACCAATAATTGGGGTTCATGTTTGTCATATCCAAAGTTGTATGCGATAAGTGAGGATTTCTTAAATCTTTGTATTGGACAATGGTACGGAAGAGTTGACTATTTATGCAATATGGTCTTCGGGCTTTCGATGGGCTATAGACCATGACAAGTGGTACGGTCGGGTTGACAGTATCAAGGCTGTTTTTGAAGGTGAGGCACAGAAAGATGGAATCAATTAATTTCAAACATAAAAAAGATAAGGGAATTAACTATGACTTAGTTTGTAATTCACTTCTACATGTTTGCTCTGAAATCAGCAACTTTTACTACAAAATTCATTTTTGTGGAGGTTTCTCATATTCAAAATACTTTGATGTTGTTGATATTTGAGCACTTCAAAGTAAATTCCAACCTGTAGTTGTAACCATCCATAAGAAACAGAGTAATCAATGGTTAAACTGTAAGGACCTTTTGTAAATGTTTGCATAACTGGCTCTTTATGGGACGTGTGCCATTCGAAGTATTGAGCTTCTTGAAGCATATTTCTTAAATTGAATGCATCTATTGTTTTTGTGATACTACTAGTTTTTGGTTTCAGAAACACGGATTGATCTAGGGAAGGGTGCTATTGATAAGGAAGTGGTGGAGCAGGTCAGTTACAGTTCAATTCTATACATCTAAATAAGCTGCAATATTACCATGTATTTTTATGTGTTTATAGTTTATAGATGTATATATAAAATTATATAATATGCTAAATAGAGTGAATCTTATGATTCATGATTCACTATTCTCTCATATGCATATTTGTGAATGGAGGTCACCTTCTACATGTTTCTTTTTTTTTATATTTTAATGTTTTGATGAATTGGTTTGCAGAGGATCCAACGAATAGACCTAAGAGTATTGTTGATGTTAGATGTGGAATTGGAGGCAGTTCTAGATATCTAGCTAGGAAATATGAAGCCCAATGCCAAGGCATCACCCTGAGCCCCATCCAAGCCCAAATGGCTGAAGGTCTTGCTGCTTCCCAAGGATTAGCCAACAAGGTTTGTGTGAGCTTTATTATGCTTTCCACTTTTTAGCTGGTTTTTGAAAATGAGCAAGGGAGGTAATGGAAACCCTTAGTGTACCTATATTTCAGTTGAGTCTATGAGATTATGGTATCTTGCCTACCTCCATGGAGTATATGTTGTCTGCATCATTTAAATTATTCATTTTATGAAATCTCACTTACCTCTTAGAGTTGCTGTTATCTGCATCATTTAAATTATGCTGTTGAAGTTTGGTTGGTGCATGGGTTTGAAAATTCCATTTGGTCCTAGTTAAGAGTATAGTTTATCATCCTTTCACTTCCTTAGAATAGGAGAAGAAAACTATTGCATGGAATAACCAATGCTCAACCGAGCCTCAGGGGAGGTTGATATTTTCAAGTATTGCTGTGGGATATTTCTGATTTCCATGCTACAATTATGACTGAAAATCAACAACCCCCATAAGATTTGTCATAGAAAGCTTTCTTTGAAAGATAATATTTAGTTATCTGAACTGTTGTTATATTGGTGTGGGGGAAAAAATCACTATGACAATTATGACTATTCATTTCATTGCAGGGACACATATAATCTGTGGTTTATTTGTTCAATTATACTGATTTTAGTTTCTCACTGTTTTTTCTTAGACACATCCGATGGAACTCATTGAGCAAATGGTTCCTGTCTCTATTCTATTTTATTTTCTTGACTTTTAGACAATAAGTGCTAGCCATGGATGAAACATCTAGTTGGTCGTATATAAAACGTTTTCCAAACTTGTGGTCGGCAAAGATTAAAAATTAATTTTATTTTTTTTTCATTTGGCTATCAAACAATTTCGTAGCCAAAAGTAGGTCTACAGCGACTAAAACTCAAAAATAAGATATTAATATTTTTGGATGGTAGGTGTACAACCTCTTAATAAAAATAATTAATTTTCTTATTTTCATTCGGCTACCAAACAATTAGTAGCCAAAAGTAGGTATACAGCGACTAAAAAAAAGTTTGTCGCCGAAAGTTGACATTTGGCGACCAAAAGTTTGGTCGGGAAAGATAAAAAATTATTTTTTTTATTTTCATTCGGCTACCAAACAATTTAGTAGCTGAAGGTACCTCTACGGCTACTAAATTTTTATTTAGTCGCCAATTGTCATATGTTTAGCTACTAAAAATTTTTTTAGTCGCCAATTGTAATATCTTTAGCTACTAAATTTTTTTTAGTAGCCAATAATCAACATTCCCCTACTAAAAAAAATTAGTAGCTAAAATGTTGACTTTTGCCGACTAATATTATTTTTGGTAGCCAATTCCGTGACTTTTGGCGACTAAATTAGTTTTGGTAGCTAAAAGTGGTCGGCAAAAATGCTTTTTCTTGTAGTGGTTAAATAAAAGATTAAAAAAATTTCATGACATCCCTTAGTGAACATTCAAATATATAACTAATAATTCACGTTATTAAAAAAAATTAGTAGCTAAAAAGTTGACTTTTGCCGACTAATATTATTTTTGGTAGCCAATTCCGTGACTTTTGGCGACTAAATTAGTTTTGGTAGCTAAAAGTGGTCGGTAAAAATACTTTTTCTTGTAGTGTTATCTCTCAGTCTCTAACTCAGCTAGTCATCGAATCACTATTCTCCATAGCAGTGACTGCTCGATCACTCTTGGCAGAGATTGCTCAAAACTAACCTCGTATCGAGTCACATGAGGATCATACGATCAATCATCATGAGAAAATCGATTATAAATGGTCCGCTGCATTGTGGCTAAACAGAAATTTATGAGCTCATCAATCATATAAATATATGCAATCTGTCCAAAAAAAATCGATGAGCCCAAATAATTCAAAAGTCCAAAACGAGCCCAATGGCAAGCCCACTTAATCAAACCCAATCTCAAAGCCTAATATGCCGAAAGAAGATCGTCACTTCAAATCCAACTCATATTTCACTTTTTTAGATAAAAAATAAAAAAATATATTAATCTAATACTTCCCAAACAATCTATAAATAAGATCAAATTAGCCCCATAACCCACTTTCCACAATATATATACTACCACCAATATAATCAGCGACTTCTTCAACAAAAGCAAACCTGTGGACACAAGAAAGCGACGGCCGCGTCCTCGACGTTTGGTGATAAGCGTCACTAAAGGAATTAGCGGCATTTTTCATACATATAGCGGCGTTTTTAAAACGCCGCTAAAAGTCATTTTTCCAGCAGTGTATACATCAGCCCACTTGTCGTAAATAACCAGCGCAGCCCAGGCAGGAAAAACACAGCTGTTGTCCACCGATCTCATCAATCACCACGTGAGAGAGAGAGCCCAGGTTATGTCACCAAAGAAGCTATTTCGCCGGTGCCGGAGCAACAGAAACTCCGTCGGCAATTATCAGCCGAACCATGAGCACCCCAGAAAACAAACAACATACCGGCGTATGAGTTGAGACAGACCCACCATTGCCGAAGCGACTTGCCTACTTACAACTCCATACCAGTAACTCATGCACACGGCATTACCGGCGAAAAAGGTTCAGCTGCCGGAGATGGATGCAAGGAACCAACCAACCAGAAAGCTAGTAGACCACCTGCACCAACCGAGCTATCACTAAGTTCGTAACAACCCACCTCCTCCATGGTGCACCAAACACTCCATTGGCAGTGGCAAACCTGTCAGCGTAGCAGGAGCGCACCACTCCAGATCTCACACCCGTTAACTTCATTCTCTCTTTAGACTAGAGAAAGGCAAACAAACTTCGTCGAGGCAGCCAACACCTTTGTTGTAGAACACGATCAGATGATTATCGGCTCAACTGTACACCACAAACTTCCATACAGATGCACCGTCGGTGAGAAACCCATCGACAATACACGCTGAAAGCCATGAATGACGACGGCAGAACAAAAAACCCACGCGTCATCTACATGTCGCCACCCGTAGCTCACGAGATCATCGAACTCACTACACCACGCTACAGCACTCACACTCACTGTAGCAACGACGCTAGAGCTGAAAATAATCCAGTGACAAACCATCGATAACGCTAACACAGTGACAAGAAGCCACCTCCATGACCAGTGAAACCAGTCAACACAGCGGCAACCACCCCAAGCAAGGAGCAAAAAGCCAACACCGGCGCTAGAAACCCAGCGACAGTACCCCATAGTTCTAAATCGCGGTATCGGCTGACGTAACGGTATCGATCGCGGAGTATCGGTATCGGTAGTATCGGCTGGTACGTATCGGGAATCGGGCGTCGCGACCGTGAAATTTTAAAAATCATTAACAATCCCTCTAAAACTAAATTTTATGCATTTTTTTGATTCTTGTAACTTTAATTTGTTATATTTTAATCAAAATTTCATTATGTAGGAACATTTTTAGAATATTTCCAATATTATGCTGCCATTGTATTACCAATAGAATGGGGGAAGACTAAATTTTACGTAGGAACATTTTTAGAGTATTTCCAATAATTACAAAATAACATAAGCAAAAAGCCATAACTATCTAAGAAGCCATAAATTAAACATTCTAGACTAATCCAAGAGAAAACACCACTAAAGATAATGTGTGAAGCTACTTACAAATGTTGGTTATGCCTAATGTGTTAATTTTTCCCCAGTTCCATAACCCCTTCCATGGGTATCTTTCCTAGGTCTCTTATTGTATACTCTTTGTATATCTTGCGTTGCCGCACGTACGATTCCCTCTTCGACTTGTGGAGAAGGTGGCTGCCCATCACCAATGGGTGCAATAGAAATATTTGATACCACATCCGGCAAAGCTTAAGATACCGCACTGAGCTGTGAAACACCCTTATTCGGTGCACTACTATCATGGTCTATAGCTCGACCTCAGCTTCGACCTCTACTCATACCGCGACCTCGGCCTTGACAGTTGCCATGACCTCTACCCCTACCTGTCCCTCTGGTAGGGGCATAGGCTTGGCCCTCCCTCCTCCCTCAATATGGAAGTCTTGGGTAATGAGTGGATCAGTAAGGTAGCTGAAGTTTATATGGGGGATAGGAGATAATGCTACCATTGTATTACCAATAGAAATGTACGTAGGAACATTATTACTCGAAATATTACCAATTTCATTTACTTAATTCCATTTCAGAGATAACATGCGGAAATAAACTCGTATATTCAACTTGTAGAAGAGTTGCACCAGAACATCATCACTAAAATACCACCAGGGGGAGCTTTCTCTCTTTAGAAAGAGAGAGGCTCTCCTTTCGTCCATAACTTTAGTTCTGTTTGTTTTCAAAGGTTGAATGGAAGAGATTTATATTAAGATCACGTTTGTTTAGTAGATTACATTAGGTGGGATTGTTAGTGAAGAGATTGTTAATGTGGGGATTACTAATGAAGGGATTAAAGAAAAGTGTATTTGTTTTGATGATAATGTGAGAGATAGTTAGTGATAGAATTGTTATATTATTTTTATATAAAATAAATTATTTCTATATTAAAAAAAAAACTAAAACAAATAGGTGCACTTGATCAAAAAAATAAAATTTTTATATAAAATAAATTCAATCCCCTCACATTTTTTCTAATCCCATCAAAATTCGCTCAAACTAATCCCCCTAAGGGGGATTAGCAAGCCACTTAGAGTAGCAGTCCCCGTCCACAAGGAAGCTACCAAACAAAGATTAGTGGGACCCACCTTTTTACTACTCCAATCCCATCCCTAATCTCCCAAACAAACATGACCTAAGGCCATGTTTATTTTGCGGATTAGGTTGGATGAGATTATTAATAAGAGGATTGTTAGTGAAGAGATTGTTAATGTGTGGATTGTTAGTGAAGAGATTGTTAATGTGTGGATTGTTAGTGAAGAGATTGTTAATGTGTGGATTGTTAGTGAAGAGATTGTTAATGTGTGGATTGTTAGTGAAGAGATTGTTAATGTGTGGATTGTTAGTGAAGAGATTGTTAATGTGTGGATTGTTAGTGAAGAGATTGTTAATGTGTGGATTGTTAGTGAAGAGATTGTTAATGTGTGGATTGTTAGTGAAGAGATTGTTAATGTGTGGATTGTTAGTGAAGAGATTGTTAATGTGTGGATTGTTATGGATGAGATTATTAATAAGAGGATTGTTAGTGAAGAGATTGTTAATGTGTGGATTGTTAGTGAAGAGATTGTTAATGTGTGGATTGTTAGTAAAAAATAAATAAAATAGTCCGGCGGACTAATTTATAATTCCAAGTCCCACGGGCCTATCCTAATCTCCTCCCCAAGGGTATTCGTAGTCCAGAGGGGATTACAAATCCCCTCTCAATCTTTGAAAACAAATATGATATTAATAGGTCCCACCTCACTATGAATCTCAATCCCCCTCCTTATAACCTAAAACAAACGGGGCCTTAGTTTATTGTAAACAAATGGGTAGTTTCGGTATATGAACTCGTATGCTGCTCGAGCCATCTCTTTTGAGCTAGAGGAAAGAAATGGACCCAAAAGTTATCTGCTCGAGCCAATAAACAGTCGCTCAAGCCCACAAGTGGAGTTCTCAACAGTTGGTCGGCCTGCAAAAACACTAGATTGCACTATTATGCACTCGAGCCATCATCATGTTCGCTTAAGCCGTCATCATGTTCGCCCAAGCATACATCTAAGAGCCTCAGAACTTTTGCAGCTAGGGTACAACTTCTGGGACCATGTAATGTTGGCTCGAGCCACCATTTCTTGTCTTGAGTGACCAACACTGAAACAGAGCAGATTAGAACACGACCAAGAGTT